GCGTGTTGCAATTTTAAGAATTTGTAAGTGCAACTCTCAACGTATGTTTTGGCGTTTTCACTGCATTCTTTATCTAATTTTTGTATTATAGCACCTAATACCATTAATATTTTTTTGAAACATTTGCAGTGGAAATATGATTTCAAGATTAATTATGGTTGTTGCTCTTGTGGGTTCTCTTGTTTGTGGAATTAGTGGCGAAGGGACTTATAGTAGGAAACTGTTCGGAGGTGGAATTGATCCTGTATTAAGTGGAGGTATTGATAGTTTCCCTTAAATAAATTCCATTGCAAACTGATCATATAAAATGTAATCAACATCCATTTGGTTTTGGTTTTGGTACTGCAGCAGATCCACTTCCATTTGGCATGAATGATTTTCCCGTTGGTCAATCAAATAGTCCATTCGATTATGGTCCTGTATTTGGTAGAGATAATGTACTTCCATCTGGCGAGAATTATCATCCTGAATGGCTGGAACTAGGCAACCAAGTGATCCATTTGGCGGCATGAATGATCTTCCTGATCAATCAAATAGTCCATTTGATTATCTTCCGAGATCTAGGCAACCAAGTGGTCCATTTTAATTTTCCTTCTGATCCAGCTAATAAAATTCTATTTAGTGATCTTCCATTATCATACCAGATATGATATATGGTTATTAGTATGATAGAATGGTAATTCAGTCTTGTAATAATAGAACCTCCTGAACAATCATTTTACCTTGTTTGCCTTCTTAAAAGTTTGAAAAGAAATTAAATACAATGAAACTCTCACGTTCCAATTACTTTGAATTTGTCCTAATTTTATTAAGGGTTAATTAACTTTGTTTACTACAAAACATTAAACTAACAGTAACTCTTACGCTAAAACAATTTCTTCTTTTTCTTTTCCTTCCATATGTCAATAATTGGATCATGCTATTTTGGCATACAGTAAATGCACTGTTTGGAAAATGTAATACTCGGTTCAAACTTAGTGTGACATTGTTATTAGTCTTCCCGCAAGAGAAAGTCAAATAAGACTAGACTTGTGTCACAAACAAGTTGTCAACGGTTGTAGATTTCAAACCACATTACCCCTTTAAAATTATAGAATATAATATTGTAACAGAATTAATGGTGTCACTGTGAAATTTGGTAAGTTATTTACAGTGATAGGAAACAAGGTTAGTTTAATTGAGACTAAAAATCTGTGCAAGGAACCTCAAACTATTTTTTAGTTGTTGAAAGATTTGAAGTTGAGTTTCAAGCAGAAGGAACTTCAAACATCTTTAATTTGACTGTGAAGTTATAAGGTAATATTAAGTTAAAAAAATATGGTAGTACTATTGTCTTGTATTCACTGAAGTTAAGAAATAATCTTAAGAGAATATGGTAGTACTATTTTCTTCCACTAAATGCAAATTTCTGACAAGACATAGAGCTAACCTGAATCATCCCATGTGCCCCAAAGAGAAAGAAAACAAGACCAGCCATACATCAGTCTCTCAGCAGCATGAGAAACTTAGAACACCTCCGAATATCAAAGCAACCATTAATCCCCTGTTGCATGACCCTTACTCTTTTGTCCAGAAATTTGAAATTAAACGTCCCTTAGATTTATCAATCCGTTGTATATATGATTAACTTGCATGCATGCACATCGTAACAAAGTAGATCATAAACATTAAAAATGCAATGAACAAAAACAATCAAACTAAAGAGAACATAAAAGAGTAAATAACTACTTTGTTCCATTAGATAGATAAGAAGTTGACATTATCACAAAGTAGTTTATTGTACTCCGTCAAAATACGGACACAAGTCTCAGGCCATGTTGGTGCAGTCAGTGGCCTTGAACGAGACACTCATATTTTCTAAATCATAGGCGACTAAGAAGTTGGTTTGGGTCACACTGCCGAAGAAAGCCTCGTTTTCAGTTGGACGAAATGCTAGGCACTGATATCCTTGAGGATCTGGATGCATTATGTTCTCGACGGATAAAGGTAGATCAGCACCCAGAAGATGCATTGTGATTGGAGGAACGTCAGTGGAATTCAAAGCTCTGTAACAGAGTACAGTTGAGCTGCTGCCCCCGTCCACCACTGGTTCTACATGGATAGCTTGTCTCACCACTAAAATAAGCTGGTTGTATAACCACGTAGGAAGGAAAGTGAAGGTGGTTCCTGAATCTATGATTATGTTCCCTACTTGAAATGTGGTAGAGGAATTGTTAAGAAGCTCCAATCTAATATTCCCAATACTAAGGCCTATGAGGGTCAAGTAATAAGATGGTCGGGAGGGTTTAACAAGAAGCGGAGTGACATGCGTCCCAGGTCCCGAAACGTCAACCTTGTCACCAAAGCTAAGCTTGCTTGGGACATCTAACTTTGCCAAAGGCACAAAGCAGAAGGAGAACCTTTGGTCAAAAGTCGACGCAATTTGGGAAACTAAAGAGAAGGAAGAAAAACCGAGCCCCACAATGCCGGATAACCCTGGGTCCCTTGAAGTTGATCTTGAGTTACGTCCACATCCGAAAAGGATATTGGGAAAGGAGATTTTTTCACCAGACGATGAGTAGAGAGAGAGAGTTTCTGTAGCCACTTCACCGGACGAAGAACTCTTATCAACGTAATCGACATAGTAGGTGCAGATACCTCCCTCGCAATGTGCAAACTCAGAGCATTTTGGCGAGTGGCAAGGTTGTTCCTCATAAGTAGAAGAATTTGTGGGTGCATAGATGGGAAATTTCTGGTTGTAGCACTGACATGGCTGGCATTGTATCCATATGAAGCCACTACCAGTATCAGCAACTGCAAGCTGAAATTGCGGAGGTGTTCCCACTGAAAAATTCAGAAGGTAACTACCACCAAAAGCATCAGGGATCAAGTCTGCTGAGGCTACGTGGTTGACTAGTGGTGACAACTTTGACGAAGGGTGGATTAAGTCGATGCTAAATCCACGGCCAATCGTACAAGTTTTGGCCCCATCTACACGTAGTGAAGAGTAGATGAGATTAGTGATAAGTGAGATTAAAAAGGAAAAAGTAATAATCAGAAGGGTGGAAGAAAAGAGATTGGAAGTAATTTTTAGTGCCATAGTGATTCAGTACTGGAATGCTGGAGTTTAGTTGTGTTTTGAAAGAAAGAATGTGGCCTATATTTATAGGCAAATTGTTCCCCACAACCGAGATCATAGTATAAACTTCGACAATTACTATGAGAGGGATATAGTACCAACCTCTGCAGTGCATGGGGAAGGTAAATAACAAACAACTCTATTAGTTAAACTTCAAAGGCAACCTAGCTAACTTTGGCTGCCATCTAGTATATTAAAGTTTTAGCAGTATTATAATTGTTATTGAAACTTACAGCTTATCTAATATACTCAGCTCGTTGACCCTATGAATTTTTTCTTCAATGTAATTCCAATGCATATTCCTTTTGAAAGTAGTTTTACAGCCATACTTTGGTTTGCTTAAATGTAATATTCATATTCTTGTATCCTAAAACTCTTCAACTAATTAATTAACTCTATAGTTCCTCCGTTTGGAGTATTTTACAACCACATTCAGTTTGCTTAGATTTTTCTTTTGCTTTTATGGTAAATCATAACGCTGCAATATGAATGGATACAGTCGATTCCGATTAACTTAAGATAGGAAATAAAACATAAAAAGGAAAAAGATATGATTAATTTCAAGCATGCATAAGAAACTAGTATCGATTTCTATATTATTGATATTTTTTTGGTATGAATAATAAATTGAGACGAATCCATAAATATTGTAATTTAAAGATTTTAAATCTAACAAAGTATATATAGCTGCAACTTGCCGGGGTCCAGATTTTATAAATGCATTTACGTTTCGTGTATAAATGTCAATGTCAATGCAACGTGCAATGACATCAGTTTTTCGTTTTAAATCTAACCATTTATCAAATGCCAATTAATTTAGTTAATAATCTTAAATATCAATGCCTTTAAGTTTTGATTCCAATTCTTTATTTCCGAACAAATTATAAAGCCCTCTGATGGATACTAAGTTTCATTCACTAGAAGCCGGTAAACTTACATGTAATTTTTCCAGCTCCTCCTTTTCTATGAGATTTCGATGNATGACCAAGATTTCACTCAACTAATGAAGCTAGTAAACTTCCATTTCTCATGAATAGATTATCCATTTGGCTGTGTAATTTGTCTCTGACTAAACAACCCGAGGGTGGTGTGGTTTGCTGACAAAATCATGCAAGGCTTTATAATACGGGCATTGTAATATAGTTAGTAAGTATCATAGAATGGCATACTGCCTTGTTTGCCTTCTTAAAAGTTTGAAACAAAAATACAATGAAACTCTCACGTGCAACATTAAATTTGTCCTAATTTTATTTTAATTAACTTTGTACTCCGGTTTTACTACTAAAACTAACGAACTCTTACGCTAAAAATTTTCTTCTTTCTCTTTCCTTTTTCTTTTCCTTCCATTTGTCGAACTTTCAATTTCTATTCAGCTATCGTCCAGATTTACTAAGAGCACTTATATTTTTTATTTCCTAGTTTCAATTTGGTAACAAGCAGACATACCTTATCTTTTTGCAAAATTCTCCTTTTACGACATTTATTATTTTTTTTTATACTTTAATCTGAAAATAAAATGATCGAATCCATTATAAGTTTATAACTACCGTTGTGACCTGCCAGGTCCAGATTTTATTAAACCTTATGTGCCGTGTCTAAATTTGTTTCAAGACATAATTTTCTTTTGTTTATTTGCACATGCCAATTTTTTTTATTTCTCGCACGTTTTTTTTTATTATTTGCGCTCGTCTTTGTTATACAGGGTTGAATTATGTGCAAGGAGTACTCACAATGGATAATTTGAAATCCCAAGGGTGACAGTCCCCTTAACTATTTAAATCCTTAAGTTGCATATTTGCAAAGGGAAGAGTGTGGATCACCTATGTGTGACTACTTTCATAAACGGTCAAACCTAGACCTTTCAGCTTTAATGTTATGTGTGTGTGATTGACTATATTAGTATATGTTTACGTTGGATTCCTTCTTATACTTTGGATCAAGTCTTTATGGAGTTGTATGTGTTATCTAGTCTACCTTTTATCTGAAAGTATAGGGATGCAATTTTACTGCATTTTACATGGAATTTTGGTTTTTAAAAGATGTTTAAAAAGAGAGGAAAAGCAACCTCTACTGTACCTGAAAAGAGACTACAATTACAATGAGAGGGATATAGTACCAACCTCTGCAGTGCATGCGGGATAATTCTATTCCTAGGTGGTAATGTGATAAATACTAAAATGTGTGCTATAGGCTTAACAAAAATTGTCTTAGCTATTGGTTAGCCCCTACTCCCTAGTATCTTCTAGTTTTAGGAAAGTAAATAACAAACAAACTCTGTTAGTTAAACTTCAGAGGAAACCTAGCTAACTTTGGCTGCCATCTAGTATATTAAAGTTTTAGGAGAATTAAGTAATTATTATTGAAACTTATAGCTTATCTAATATACTCAGCTCGTTGATCCTATGATTTTTTTCTTCAATGTAATTCATATGCATATTCCTTTTGAAAGTAGTTTTACAGCCATACTTTGGTTTGCTTAAATGTAATTTTAATATTCATATATATTCCTGTTTCCTAAAACTCCTCAACTAATTAATTCTGTAATTTCGCTGTTTGAATTATTTTACAACCACAGTTTGTTTGCTTAGATTTTTCTTTTGCTTTTATGGTATTATAACGCTGCCATATGAAAAGATACAGTCGATTCCCATTAACTTAAGATAGGAAATAAAATTACATAAAAAGGAAAAAGATATAATTAATTCAAGCATGCATAATAAACCAGTAACGATTTCTATATTATTAATATTTTTTGGTATGAATAATAAAATTAGACGAATTCATTATAAATCCATATAAATATTGTAATTAAAAGATTTTAAATCTAACAAAGTATATATGGCTGCAACTTGCCAGGCTCTAGATTTTATTAAATGCATTTACGTTTCGTGTATAAATGTCAATGTTAATATAACTTGCATTGACATCAATTTTTCGTTTTGAATCCAACCATTAGTTAAATGCTAATTAATTTAGTTAATAATCGTAAATGTCAATGTAATTAAGTTTTGATTCCAATTCTTTATTTCCGAACAAATTATTAAGGCTTCTGATGGACACTAAAGTTTCATTCACTGCTCGAAGCTGGTAAACATACATGTAAGTTTTTCAGCTTCTCTTTTTAAATGAGATTTCGATGGTTATTTTTTTTCCAATATTTATTACTTTTGGAAACAAATCTTTTCGCTTTTTATTAAGACATATATAACTTATTGCTTCTTTTGAATTACTTTTTTTAATATCGAAATTGGTTTGAAGTATTTGATAGGTGAATATATAACATGCATGTGTGTTGCAATTTTAAGAATTTTGTAAATGCAACTCTCGACGTATGTTTTGGCGATTTCACTGTATTCTTTATATAATTTATGTATTATAGCACATAATATCATTAACATTTTTTTGAAATATTTGCAGTGGAAATATGATTTCAAGATTAATTATGGTTGTTGCTCTTGTGGGTTCTCTTGTTTGTGGAATCAATGGCGAAGGAACTTATAGTAGGAAACTGTACGGAGGTGGCCAAATAATTATCTCACACATGAAGGCGGAATTAATCTTGCATTAAGTGGAGGTATTGATAGTTTCCCTAAAATAAATTCAATTGCAAACTGATCATATCAATTTTGTAATCAACATCCATTTGGTTTTGGTCTTGCAGTTGATCTAGATAATATACCTCCATTTGGCGTGAATGAACTTCCTGGTCAATCAAATAGTCCATTCGATTATCGTCCTGTATTTGATAAAGATAATGTACTTCCATTTGGCGAGAATTATCATCCTGGATCCAGCTAATAAAATTCCATTTAGTGATCTTCCATTATAATACCAGATATGATATATAATTATTAGTATGATAGAATGGTAATTCAGTCTTGTAATAATAGAACCTCCTGAACAATCATTCTACCTTGTTTGCCTTCTTAAAAGTTTGAAAAGAAATTAAATACAATGAAACTCTCACGTTCCAATTACTTTGAATTTGTCCTAATTTTATTAAGGGTTAATTAACTTTGTTTACTACAAAACATTAAACTAACAGTAACTCTTGTGTGTGGAATCAATGGCGAAGAGACTTATAGTAGGAAGTTGTACGGAGGTGGTGGGCGCATAACTTATTCAGATGGAGGTATTGGTAGTTTCCCTTAAATAAATTCCATTATATTGCAAACTGATCATATCAAATTCGTAATCAACATCCATTTGGTTTTGGTCCTGCGGTTGATCCAGATAATATACCTCCATTTGGCGAGAATGATTTTCCTGCGGGTCAATCAAATAATCCATGTGATTATCGTCCTGTATTTGATAAAGATAATGTACTTTCATTTGGCGAGAATTATCATCCTGAATCTAGGCAACCAAGTGGTCCATTTTAATTTTCCTTCTGATCTAGCTAATAAAATTCCATTTGGCATGAATGATCTTCCATTATAATACCAGAATTATGATATACTTATTAGTATGAGAGAATGGTAATTCAGAATTGTAACGATAGAACCCCTGAACAAGCATTCTACCTTGTTCGCCTTCTTAAAAGTTTGAAAAGAAAATACAATGAAACTCTCACGTTCCAAATTTAAATTTGTCCTAATTTTATTGAGGGTCAATTAACTTTGTACTTAATTCGCTTTTACTAGAGAAAACTAACAATAATTCTTACGCTAAAAGAATTTCTTCTTTCTCTTTTCCTTCCATATGTCAACAATTGGATCGTTCTATTTTGACATACTGTAAATGTAATGTTTGGAAAATGTAATATATACTCGGTTCAAACATAGTGTGACATTGTTATTAGTCTTCCTGCAAGAGAAAGTCAAATACGACTAGACTTGTGTCACAAACAAGTTGTCAACGGTCGAAGATTTCAAACCACATTGCCCCTTTAAAAATAGAATATAATATTTTAACAGAATTAATGGTGTCACTGTGAAATTTGGTAAGTTATTTACAGTGATAGGAAACAAGGTTAGTT